CTGATGAGGAGCTGGAGGTGCCTGAACCCCCGTTGTAAAGAGTGTGAAAACTGGAGGCAAAAGCTGAGGGGCTCTCCATATCCCTGGAGACAGGCCCTCAGGTGTGTCCGCGCTGCGGAGATCGCCGCTGTCCACCTGCCGGGGTTCCAATGAGCAGGTCCGGAGAAGAGGAACGCCTGTGGGCACCGGTGGGCCTGTTCCTAGTGAGGAGCTGGAGGTGCCTGAACCCCCGTTGTAAAGAGTGTGAAAACTGGAGGCAAAAGCTGAGGGGCTCTCCATATCCCTGGAGACAGGCCCTCAGGTGTGTCCGCGCTGCGGAGATCGCCGCTGTCCACCTGCCGGGGTTCCAATGAGCAGGTCCGGAGAAGAGGAACGCCTGTGGGCACCGGTGGGCCTGTTCCTAGGAGGAGTAAGGGAGGCCCAGAGGAGCGTGTGCTCCCGTCGACCGCCCGCTGCGTGGACGGCGCCAACCGCGACAGGGGATACTTCGACTCCGCTACGTGATGAACCTCGCTGGAGCCGCATCCCGTAAGTCGCCTTTCCCCGTGGGCGTGGGCCTGGCCGGAGAGTGAATGTGAGGCCGTTCAAGCACCCGCAGGCCGCTGGGCGGGAGGCGCTTCTCCCTAGAGCGCCGAGCGAGCGGGCGGGGGTGCGGCAGCCAGGCGGCGCAGCCCAAGGGCTGGAGAATGGGGCTGGCTGTGCCGGGGCGGGCCAGCGATACCCCCTGCCTGCGCGGAGTCGCAGGAGGAGGGTGGGTTGTAGGTCAGGGGGAGGAACAGACTGCGGCCAAGTGACGGGCCTCCAAGCGGATTCCCTGGCAGGATGAACCCGTGGACAGCAGACCAATCCCCAGGCAGGGTTTTCTTGCCCCGGGTCAGCTCGAGGCCAGACTCACCTGGCATCGTTCTCCCGTTTCCTTTATGTACCATTGCACGGCTTTCATTGGGGGGGGCAAACCAATAACTCAGGCTCCCCATGGCTCTGGAGTGTGAGCGATTCACTGTGCCAGCAAATAGACCTGCCCTAGGGGAAGGACACAACCCCTCAAGTCCCCAACCAGCCTAATTCACTTACACGTCACCCGCATGCCAGGCAGGAGGTCGCGGTTCCTTTTCTTCCCACGCATCGGAACGCCAGGCACTGGGTCGCCGGTGTGAAGGGCCTAATCACTTCTAGTTACACCGCGCAGGATGTGTGGGTCAGTCCTGCCCACTCCCTCTTCCTAAGCCCATTGGAGAGCAAAGCGAGACTTGGTCGTTCCAATACTATTCACCGACTGATTGCGTGCTGTGGAGGATCCGTCACAATGCCCCTGTTTGGGGTACTTCCTGCCCAGGGGGGTGCTGCTCTGTGCGCAGTTGACAGTTCGTGGCTGCATCTGTAATTTTTGCTCATCAGAAACAGAAGTCCCGGGACAAGGCCGCTGCTCCTGTGTTCTTAATGCGGTCTCGCGCCCAGGCTGAATCTGCATTGTAATCCCAACGTTCCTTCTTCTGGGGCCTGGCCTGCATGCTTGTTTGCACCAGGCTTGCGTGAGGCCTGGGTTTGCTTTTAGGCAGGCATCACCATGTATTGCCAAGGCAGGGTCGTGCGGGCCCCCCCACCCAGGAGACAGATTTCTGCCCGGAAGAACCAGGACTCTCAGGCAGCGCAGCCCGAACAAAGCCGCTTGCGCAGTTGTGAAGGGCTGATTCCCAGCTCTTTGCTTCGTGGCTGGATGCTTGAGCTGCAGGGCCAGGACGCTGTGAATCTACAACCCGTCCTGGACAATGATCCCTCGCTCTCCCAGGCCTTGGGAGGCAGGCCAGTCCTCGCCCACAGACAACCCGCCAACCTGAAGCAAATTCTCACCAGCAATTATACACCGCACCACAGTAACCAACTCAGGAACCAATCCCTGCAACAAACCTCGGTGCCCACTCTGCCCACATATCTACACCAGCAACCCCATCGCAGGACCTAACCAGATCAGCCATACCGTCACTGGTTCATTCTCCTGCACACCTACTAACGTAGTATATGCCATCACGTGCCAACAATGCCCCACTGCTATATACATCAGCCAAACTGGACAGTCCCTACCTAAAAGAATCAATGGACACAAATCAGATATTGGGAATGGCAACATACAAAACCCTGTAGGGGAACACTTCAGTCTCCCTGGACACACACTTGCAGATCTCAAGGTAGCCATCCTGCAGCAAAAAAACTTCAGGACCAGACTTCAAAGAGAAGCTGCTGAGCTACATGCATCTGACGAAGTGGGTCTTTGCCCACGAAAGCTTATGCTCCAACACTTCAGTTAGTCTCTAAGGTGCCACAGGACTCCTCGCCGCTTTTGCGGAGCTACAGTTCATCTGCAAGTTAGACACAATCAACTCAGGATTAAACACAGACTGTGAATGGCTCGCTAACTACAAAAGCAGCTTCTCCTCCCTTGGAATTCACCCCTCCAGAACAGCGGCTAGAAGTGGGCCTCATCCTCCCTGATTGGATCCACCTCATCATCTCCAGCCTGATCCTGGCCTGCATATTTATTCCTGCCTCTGGAAATTTCCACTACATGCATCTGACGAAGTGGGTCTTTGCCCACGAAAGCTTATGCTCCAACACTTCGGTCAGTCTATCAGGAGCCACAGGACTGCTCGCCGCTGACGCTGTGAATGTGAACACTCCTGTCAGGGGCTGTCCCGCCCCCCAACAATCCCCCCCGTGAGCTCGGTGCCCTGGGCTGCAGAGAGCCGACCAGTCTGAGGAAAGTCTGGCTTCTGCTTGCCCCCCTCTGCTGCAAAAGAACAGCCTCTCTTCACGGGGGGGCAGGCCAGAGGGCAGCTGGATTCCGGAGTCTGGCCCACGAGACCCTCGGCCCCCCAGCGATGAGTCCAGCCACAGCCACACGTATGTGGGACAGCCCTGGGGAGACCGATCCGCCACGTGCACGGGGCAGAGAACAGGGCACCAAGGGGGCCCAGGGCCCATTCTTCTGTTCTCGGCCTCCTTGGTGCAGAATCACGGCCCAGCTGGGGATTGGCTGGGGATTGGCTGTCAGTATCTGTGGCTGATGTTTCACTGCCCCCCCCCACCGCACTCTCCTGTGGGGGGCACAGCTCAAGTCGTTCCCTAGCCCATTTCAAAACTAGGACCCTGCCCCAAAGACCATGAAAGTCTTCCCAAGGGAGATCAGCTCAGCTCTTCCCAGCTCTGCTTCCTCTGCAGCTCTGGCCTTCCAAGCCCAGCTGTCCTGCCGGCGCCTTCCGTTGAATGACGCAGTGTCTGGGAAACCACACTTCCTTTCGGCAGGACCCCTGTGCCTCTGGGCCTGGGTCTCCCCTCTGCTAAGAACATAGAACGGCCAGACTGGGTCAGACCACGGGTCCGTCCAGCCCAGGGTCCTGTCTGCCCACAGTGGCCAGCGCCAGCTGCCCCAGAGGGAGGGACACAACAGGGAATCCTCACGTGATCCCTCCCCTGTCACCCAGTTCCAGAAACACAGAAGATGGGACACCATTCCTACCCTCCCGGCTAATAGCCATTGATGGACATAACCTCAATTAGTCTATTGAGCTCTTTTTTGTACCCTGTTAAAGTTCTAGCCTTCACCGCATCCTCTGGCAAGGAGTTCCACAGGTTAACTGTGTGCTGAGTGAAAAAAAACAAACTTCATTTTATTTTAAACCAGCTGCCTCTTATTTTCATTTGGTGACCCCTAGTTCTTATATTGTGGGAATAAGTAAATAACATTCCCTTATCCACTTTTCCCACACCTGTCACGATTCTATAGACCTCAATCCTATCCCCTTAGTCTTCTCTTTTCTGAGTTTTTCTTTGCTGGCCCAGCTGTACTGCGCTGCCCGTGGCTGGTGGGAAAGTGGAGACAGTGAGCAGGGACCAGATGGGGTATCTCTGGTGCAAGTGGCTGGGAGATTGCTGGGAAGGATGAAGCACGGGGGAGCAGGGCGAGTTCTGCGCCGGCTCTTCCGTGGCTCCCACGCGCGGAACCGACAATTCCCCAGGAATAAGCGGTGGGCTATTTCCGTTGGCTAGATGAGAAGGGAGGAGCCGTCCCGGAGGCAATCCCTCCCATGCTAGTCGCTATGTAGCCTTCAGAATGGAATTGGCACATCAGCAGGGTTGGTGGAAGCTTAACATTGGAAATGGGAGCCATCCTCAAACACATGCTGGGTGTGAACGCAGGCGTGGGCCTTTGCGGGCTGCTGGGGAAGCCGGCTCCCATAGGATGAGCAGTTACTCACAGGAGCAGCTCCCTAGACTCCGGGGGCTTGCTCGTGTGAGCAGGTACTTGCTGGGGGGAGCCTTCAGCCCTTTGATAATACCCAGCTCCTCTGTACATCGCCAAGTGACTTACCATGGGGGTCACTGCTGTCATTCCTGTTTTACTGGATGGGGAAACCGAGGCACAGATTGGCACAGTGACTTGCCCAAGGTCACCCAGGAAGCCAGTGGCAAGACGGGCTTTGGAGTCCAGGGGCCCTGAGTTCTAGGGCAGTGCACTAGCTGCTCAGTCACAC